TTGTTTAAAGATTTAAGTTAATATTGTGTCCAGTTTGGCCCTGTAAATTAAAGGGTATTATTTTTTTATAAAGTGTGTACGGTTTCATTTTCTTAAGTACCGATTTAAGAACCGTTTAAGCACCGGAACCGTTTAAAAAATACAGAGTAGGTACTGGAATCGGATAAAACCCAACCGATACCCAACCCTATCCAAGATTCAGCTCCCAAGGACGACTTTCTGGAAAACAGTGAGGGAAACCAGGACAGCATATTACAGCCTCCGATAGCACCAGAGCAACAGCCCCTCTCCCCAGACACGTTATCCCACTCTCCAGCATCTCCACTTCTGTGCTTCTCAGAGAAAATGTAAAAACTGGTTTATGCTGGAACCAAACTATCCCACTCTTTTGCTGCAAGCCCCCAGATGTCAACCAAAAAACGGCAGGCCCCACAACCACCAAAGCCTGCGGGCCCAGGCCCTCCTCCTCCCCCTCCTCCTGTGAGAGCTCTTCTGCCTCTGCCCCAGCATCAGGGCTCACACCCTCCTCAATCTGCTCGAGGTGAACCAAAAACAACTGATACCAGCTCTCAGTGATATGTGTCGGGTCCCCGCTATGATAACAGAAACTTTCTTAAATGTTTACAAAACAAGCGGTAACCCAGTGTGCCTGAATCTTTCTCTATTGTTGTTCAATTACATGATAGAAAATCTAAGACCTTCAAAAACCGTACAGCAAACCCATCTAATCTGGTGCCTATTACACGTCAAACTAAGATTGCTGTGGGGACAAAAAGTAAGACTGTTAAGTTAGCACTTTTAAACATCCGCTCACTTAAAAATAAATCACTTCTAGTCAATGACTTAATAACCACATACAACTGGACTTTATGTTTCTAAATGAAACTTGGTTAGAAGACAGCTGCAGTGGAACAGTCTTCAATGAAACAACCCCTCCTAACTTTACTTTTATGAGTGTCTGCAGACCGGGTAAGAGAGGCGGGAGTTTAGCTGCTCTTTTTAAAGATGTCTATGAATGTAAGCAAATATCATTTGGGAATTACCCGTCTTTCAAATATCTGGGTATTGTCAAGTCATCTTCATCTTCATTTATATAGCGCTTTTAACAATGGAGATTGTTTCAAAGCAGCTTTACAGAGATAAACATACAATTTACGGTAACAGATATTGTTTTGGCTTTATAGCGATTTTTGAATAATGTTATTTCCAGCTAAAGTTGGTTTTGATTGATTCACTTCCAGCAAAATTATCATTTGTTATTACATTAGGGGCCACTAAGACGACGCCGTTCTCTCTAAACAGACTTTAAACGCGAACCTGTGACCTGATGGCGTTCACATGCGCATCAAAAATTGATTTTATAGTTATATTCGTTTGAATATGTGTGCGCAGGTTTGTAATTTCCCAACAAACCATGCCTAAACAAACTACTTGTCTTGCCTATAAATTTGATACAGCATTTTATTTTATCACTTCGGGGTACGCGAACCGGATTTTCAACAACGCTTTATCTGTAGAGTGGGAAAGGGATCCTCCATGTTAAAAGGTGCTCCATGTATTTTACTTATCATTATTTACAGGCCTCCAAAATACTCTCCAGCCTTTGCTGAGGACCTTACAGAACTGCTATCAAAAAATTCCTCAGAGTTTGACTGTTTTGCCATTGCTGGAGATTTTAACATTCACATAGATAATGCAGAAAACAATATGGCAAAAGAAATCAAAACTGTTTTAAAAACTTTTGATCTGACTCAGCATGTACATGGTCCCACACACAATCGTGGACACACTCTAGATTTACTTATCAGTAAGGGTCTAAACATCTCATCGATTGTTATTAAGGATGTAGGATCTGATCATTTCTGTATTTTCTTTGATATATTGATCTCTCCTGCCATTGAAGCTAGATCTGTGTCTGTCAAGAAGAGATGCTTAAATGAGAACACTAGTGTGCTATTTATGAAGGCTATATCTTTAAAACCAAGCATATCTGCTGACTCTGTTGATTTTCTCCTTGATTCTTTTAACTCAAAAGTTAAAAGTGTAATTGATGATATTGCTCCTGTGAAAGTCAGGAAGAATAGTGGTAGACAAAAAAGCACCTTGGAGAAACTCAACAGCTGTGCAAAATATGAAAAGACAATGCAGAAAAGCAGAGCGCATGTGGCGGAAGTCAAAACTTGTAGTCCATTATAACATCTACAAAGACAGCATCCATGCTTTTCATATGGAACTAGGCAAAGCTAGACAGACTTATATTATATTATATTATACGAATATTATAAACAGCAACTTAAACAACACACGCAGGCTACTGTAGAGAGACTGACAAACCCCCCAAGCCAGATTTCCAGTGAAATGCTCTCAGACAGCAAGTGCAGTGAGTTTGCTTCTTTCTTCTCTGAGAAAATCAATAATATCAGAAAGGTGATCAGCACATCCTTGAGTTGCTCTGGGGTCAGACAGATCAGACCACAACCGCAGAAAGTAGTTACTATGTCTGTTTTAGAAGAAATTGAAGGCAAAATTTTGGAAGAAACCGTACAGCACCTTAAAACATCAACCTGCGCCCTTGACGCACTTCCCACATCTTTTGTCAAAAGTGTGTTAAACAGCTTAGAAGCAGATCTCCTAGAAGTGGTAAATGCCTCACTTCTCTCTGGGAGTTTTCCAAACTCCCTGAAAACTGCAGTTGTCAAGCCCCTCCTGAAAAAGAGCAATCTGGATAAGACCATCTTAATAATAATAATAATAATAATAATTCATTACATTTATATAGCGCTTTTCTTGGCACTCAAAGCGCTTAAGCAACTATAGACCGATCTCAAATCTTCCTTTCATAGGCAAGATCATTGAAAAAGTTGTCTTCAATCAGGTGAACAAATTCTTAAGCTTGAATGGATACTTTGACAATTTTCAATCTGGTTTCCGATCGCATCACAGCACAGAGACAGCGCTCATAAAGATAATAAACGATATTCACTTAAATACTGATTCAGGCAAATTATCAGTACTGGTACTACTCGACCTCAGTGCTGCATTTGACACTGTCGATCATGACATACTTCTTGACAGACTGGAAAACTGGGTGGGGCTTTCTGGGATAGTCCTAAAATGGTTCAGTACATACTTAGAAGGGAGAGGTTATTATGTGAGTATAGGAGACCATAAGTCTGAGTGGACATCCATGACTTGCGGAGTCCCTCAAGGCTCAATTCTTGTGCCACTCCTGTTCAACCTGTATATGCTCCCAATGAGCCAAATAATGAGAAAGAACCAAATTGCTTACCACAGCTATGCAGACGACACACAGCTCTACTTAGCCCTATCGCCTAACGACTACAGCCCCATTGACTCCCTGTGCCAATGCATAGATGAAGTAAACAGTTGGATGTGCCAAAACTTTCTTCAGTTAAACAAAGACAAAACTGAAGTCATTGCGTTTGGAAACAAAGATGAAGTTCTCAAGGTGAACGCATACCTTGACGCTAGGGGTCTAACAACTAAAAATCAAGTCAGGAATCTTGGTGTGTCTCTAGAGTCAGACCTTAGTTTCAGTAGTCATGTCAAAGCAATAACTAAATCAGCATACCATCATCTGAAAAATATTTCAAGAATTAGATGCTTTGTTTCCAGTCAAGACTTGTGCATGCTTTTGTAACCAGCAGGGTGGATTATTGTATTGGAATCCTCACTGGCCTTCCTAAAAAGACCATAAGACAGTTGCAGCTCATACAGAACGCTGCTGCCAGGATTCTGAGCAAAATATGAACATATCACACCAGTCCTCAGGTCTTTACACTGGCTCCCAGTTACATTTAGGATTGATTTTAAAGTATTATTACTGGTATATAAATCATTTAATGGGCTAGGACCTCAATATATTGCAGATATGCTCACTGAATATAAACCTAACAGATCACTCAGATCATTAAGATCACATCGGCTAGAAATACCAAGGATTCACTTTAAGCATGGAGAGTCTGCTTTTAGCAATTATGCCAGCCGCAGCTGGAACCAGCTTCCAGAGGAGATCAGATGTGCTCCTACAGTAGTTACATTCAAATCCAGACTCAAAACACATCTGTTTAGCTCTATGCATTTACTGAATGAGCACTGTGCCACTGTTCGTCCGACTGTTTTTACTGTACTTTATTTTATTTTTTATTCTGAACTGTTTTAATTATTCTTATTTGTTTTGATTATTTAATTTTTTTCTATGTAAAGCACTTTAAATTACTATTGTGTATGAAATGTGCTATATAAATAAACTTGCCTTGCCTTGCCTATTTGGATTCTTATGATTAAAACTCTATTCTTTATCTGTTTGCCTGCAACCACCCGTGACAATGATGACATTACAGTAATTATTGCAGTGAAAGCAAGAAAAGTTTTATTATAAATAATAATAGTTTTTATTGGGGATTGGGGCACCCACCAACTAGTGCCCCCTCAAAAATGTTGAGTGCATGATGCCCCTGTGTTTACATTACATTGTTACATTACATAGTGTTGATTCAAACATGAAAACAAAAGCTTTTTAAAAATCTAAATTACTCTTTTTATTCTCAAAACTCACATTGTATCTTAATGCAGATTGAACTCCAGAATAGATTCTCTACTTTGCCTATGTGTTTCTGTAACATTGTGGTAGCATAATAGTAAAGAATCTAAGCCACTAACACAGAGTTTAAGAGTTCACATCCTATCGACCTTATTTTCCAACTCGAAAGTAAGCTAATCTCTGTGAATGTGTGAGACTTCTGATTTCTATAGCCTCTATAGGTAAATAACAAGAAGAATAACAAAGTGTAGTAAACAGTAAAACTATTTGTGCTACAAATCAGTGTGTTTATGATTATGATAATAGATTCAGATATGATAACAAACTCCAGTACAAAGGACTGTTTTTGTACAGCTAAAATAACTGGAAGCGAATGAGACCGGAAGCTTTGCACATTCTAGTTATAAATAGCAGCATCTGCTCTTATGTTAAAAAATAAGGTAGATACACAAAGACTAATGTCTAAGTCCTACTAATGGTTTGGGTGTAATTCTGAATAGATGTTTGAAAGTATGCGGGAGTGTTCTTTTGTGGTTGGAATATTATGATGTAAGATTTTGGTATGAAATAGCTAAAGAGAATTCCATTTATACTAGATATCTGGGCTATTGCATTCAAAAGGGTGACATACTTGCTTTTGACAGAGAGGTATGCTGTTAAGTACACAATCCAGCTAAGATAGTACAAAATGAGACTGAAGGTTATTGGTTTGGCCTCATTGTAATTTTTTGGCAGATCTCTTCCCATGTAAGAAAACAGGAGACAAAGGAAACCAAGAAACCAACCTATGAACACAGCTATGGTTAATGTTATAGAGTTCCCCATTTCACAGATGAGCATAATTTGATCTTTAAAAGTCCATGAGTCAATTATGGGTTTGCCAGGAGAGACAGTCATCCATATCACACAAGAAATTAAATGAATGGAAGAAGAAAATGCAATGAAGAGCCACTGTCCATTGTACTTTACCCAAAGGCTGTGCACCTTAGGGAACTGAGCAGCCATTTTAAAAACACAAATAATTTGAAAGGAACGGACAGTTAAACAGGAAATACACACAGTGAAGAAAAATGTAAATATGACCTTTCTCAGGAGGCAATGTGCAAATGTGGGTTTTCCAAAGAAAAATAATGCACTTATGCTAGACAAGATCAAACATATCAACATTAGAAGACACATGCTACCACCAGCAGACCTCACCACTGGTGTGTTGTAATTGTGGTAGAAAAGGCTAAATATGGCAATGAGTAAAATAATTATGCATATGGCAGAAACCATGACAGCAATTGAGGGGATTTCTGTGAACTGAAGATAGACAACAGAACGTCTCTTACATGTTGTGCTGCCTTCATCAGACCATTCATTCTCTGCACATGGAAAACAGGTATAGGGGTCCCCTGAAAAACAGTAAAATAATATGAATGTTTAGTAATAGTATTTTCCATAAGGTTTGTGGAAAAAGGTGTACAGTACACTTCAGAATACTTTTAAAAATGTTAATTATTACACTAATAATATCATTTAAAAGAATATACCTCGCTTTAGAACTATTTTCACAAGTAAGGTGGAAATTTTATAATGTCTAAGTACAAAAATACAAACTATTCCACATTTATTCATTCATTTAAAATCTTTATGTTTCTTTCCACATAATATTTGTTTGAAAACATAGCCATTCTTAGTTTATTTTAACAAAAGAACTCAGGATAGACAGAACAATGGCGTAACATAACAAAACACAGGGCTTAAATACACAGGGCAAACAAAGGAGCTAATGAGATGATTAACTAGACACGCCTGAACAGAATACTAAATCAATTAGTAACCAAGGAAACAAACAGGCAGGGAAAGGAGGAGAACAGAACCCATCAACAAACTAACAGCAAAATGCAAGTACAGAACAGGAAAACTAACTCAGAATATAAAACCGTGACAAAAGGAGTCCAACCATTGGGCATTGTGGAGTTGTGACAGGTAAACAGCGACACCAACAATACAGGAGCCAGGGAGGCGCCTGTAGCTCAAGGAGCCAGGGAGGTGCTGGTAGGAGGTATGGGGTTGTGTGCCACCCACACACACACACACAAGATGGCTATGACCATCAAGGACAGCGCTAACTTCCCTGGGCTTAGTTCTGGGACTTGAGTGGCCTCCTGGATCGAGCTCTGGGGTAGGAGTGGACTCCGGTGCAGACTCATGGGCTGGAGCGGGCTCATGACTGAACTCTGGGGCTGGATTCTGGAACAGACTCTGTACTGTGCTCAGAAGCTGGAATGGATTTGCTACATATATTGCTGCTGTTGTGTGGCCCAGACACACAACAGCAGCAATATATATGATCAGGACCACGTCTTCGGTCACGCCAGAACTGAAAGGAAAAGCTGGCTCTAGAATTCCTTTCTCCTGAGCAGATTTGGAAATTTCACTCTCTGGAGTAAACTCAGGAATTTCATTCACAGGAACGTACTCAGGAATTTCGCTCTCAGGAACGGACTCAGGAATTGCACTCTCAGGAACGGACTCGGAAATTTCACTCACAGGAACCTCCTCAGGAATTTCGCTCTCAGGAACGGACTCTGGAATTTCACTTTCAGGAAAGGACTCGGGAATTTCTCTCACTGGAACTCGGCTCGGAAATTTCTCTCACTGGAACAGGCTCAGGATTATTCGGTCTCTGCAACTGACTCAGGAATTTCAGTCACTGGAACAGGATCAGGAATTGCAGTCTCTGGAACTGACTCAGGAATTTTAGTCACTTGGCTGTCGGCTGGCACGCTGGTTTTCTCATCGCTCTTGCCGATGGTAAAGGGGGAACCATTGCAGAGGAGTACCCAGTCCATGTACTCCCTAAATGTCCCTCGAGGTCCGTCTCCAGGCAGGCATTGAGGCCTGCCTGGAAAAACACACACTGACTGGTGTCATCGTAGTGGACGAGATGTTGTAAATCTAGGAAGGATCAAATCAGCCTTGTTGCTGAATTAAAGATGTTAGAGTAATACAGACTAACTTTGTCGCATTAAAAAATACACACATTTGTCACGGTATGCTGAAGAAGAGATTCCAAAAGGCGTAAAGCAGGTAATACAGTCTTTAATGGAAATAAGGCAAAGCCGCAATGGCCGATTAACAAAGGTAATTCACAAAATAGACAAAGCACATGTCCGGCGCACCTAAGGAGGAGGACTGGCGGGAGTGGTAAAAATCGTCAATAAGCGAGCGGTCCAGGACGTCCCGGGCGGGGATCCAGCTTCTCTCCTCAGCACCATACCCCTCCCAGTCAACAAGAAACTGCCGGCCACGTCCTCGAGGACGAACATCGAGGAGTCTGCGGACTCGATAGACAGGGGAGCCCTCGACGCGGACAGGAGCAGATACAGGACGAGAGGGAGGGCGGACTACGGGTTTAAGACAGGAGACATGAAACACAGGATGGACGCAACGAAGATTAGACGGCAACCTGAGTTCAACAGAGACAGGACTAAGAACCTTAACGACGCGGTAAGGTTCGATAAATTTGGGCGCCAGTTTTCGTGAAGAGAACTGGAGCGTAAGATTAAGAGTGGAAAGCCACACCTTCTGACCGCGAACATAGCGAGGAGTCTAGACAAAGCGCTTGTTAGCGGCTCGGCGAGTGATAGAGCGGGAACATCTTTCTTCTTCACAATAAAGAACCCCGCACCGGCAGGAGAGGAAGAGACAATAGTACCTGCGTTCTAAGCTTCACGCTCAGGAACGGAGGGGGAATAAAGTCTTCCCAGAGGGGGGGTGGAGCCCGGGAGAAGCTCTATGACACAATCATAGGGGCGGTGCGGAGGAAGAGAAGCGGCCCGGGAACGACTGAAGACCGCTCGCGAATCGAAGTACTCCTCAGGAACCCCAGACAAATCACCTGGTTCTTCCTGGAAAACAGAAACAGAGGACACGGGAGGAACAGCAGACATCAAACACTTAACATGACAAGAAAGGATGGAGCTTAGAGACCAGTTAATCTGGGGGTTATGCTCAACAAGCCAAGGATGGCCCAAAACAACGGGGGTATTTGGGGAGTGAAAAACTAAAAAAGAAATAGTCTCACGGTGGTTACCGGAAACGGTGAGACTCGAGGGGGCAGTAGCACGGCGAACCCTGGCAAGAACCCGTCTATCCAAGGCAAAGACGGTGGTGGGGTACTGAAGATCGACAAGAGGAATACCGTGCTCGAGGGCCCAGGTCTCATCCACAAAATTCCCCTCGGAACCAGAGTCTATCAAGGCTTGACAGGAGGCGGAAGAGTTGGGCCAGCGGAGGTGAACAGGAAAAGTAGTCCGAGAAGGCAGCGGAGGGTGCAGAGAGGAAGCGCTCACCAGTAGCCCTCTCTCTACTGGCAGGTGGTGACAAAGTGATTGTCAGAGCCACAGTAGAGACATAGCCGATTGACGATGCGGCGCTGGCGTCCGGCAGCAGAGATTCGGATCCCGCCCAGCTGCATAGGCTCCTGGTCTGCCACGGAAGCGGAGGAAGAGCTGGCCATAGAGGAAGGGAGAGGTGTAGACACAGTGTTGCGAGCGCGTCGTCGTAGCTCAAAACGTTTCTCCACGCGAAGAGCCAAGGTCGATCAGGGGGTCGAGAAGAGAAGGAGCCTCGCGAGCCAGAACTTCATCCCTGATTTCGGCATTAAGATCCTTGATGAAACGCGCCACGAGCGCGGGCTCATTCCATCCACAGGAGGTGGAGAGAGTGCGGAATTCAACAGAGAAGTCCGCGACTGAGCGTCTTCCCTAGCAGAGGGTGGATAACAGACGAGAGGCCTCAGGACCATGCACTGACTGGTCAAAAACCTTTAACATCTCCTCTTTAAAAAGGGTATAGTGGTTTAAACAGTCTGCATCAGAGCTCCAAACAGCCGTTCCCCACTCACAAGCCCGTCCCTTGAGAAGCGAGATGATATAGGCGATGCGAGAGTGTTCCTTGGGATAGGTGAGAGGCTGAAGCGAGAAAACAACTTCACATTGGGTAAAAAAATGACATGCACTCAGTCTGCTCACCCGCATAGCAGGGGGGGTTGTTCACACGGGGCTCTGGGGCGTCCGAAGATCTAGAAAAAATTAAACTGCTTGGTGAGGTCAGCCATCTGGGAAGCCAGTGTCTCCACGGCATGACAAGCAGCGGAGAGTTCCTCTTCGTGCTTACACAGCATGGCTCCCTGGATCTCCACAGAGGCTTGGATAGGATGTTCATCCGTAGGATTCATGTTGGTCGGATTATTCTGTCACGGTATGCTGAAGAAGAGATTCCAAAAGGCGTAAAGCAGAAATACAGTCTTTAATGGAAATAAGGCAGAAAATAATTGAACAGCACCGGACAGGACAGGACAGGACAGGACAAGACAGGATTGAACTTAACATCTGTCAATGAAACACAAATGTAAGTAACATACGTGACGGGTAATAATAATCCGACAGAGAAGAGGAGAGTGAGATAGCTAGAAATAGAGAGACTAATGACAAGAGATTGAGAGCAGGTGTGAGGATGAGAGAACGAGGAACAGCTGAAGGAGATGAGTGAGTGATAACGAGTGAGTGATAACGGGTGTGTGTGTGAGAGCAAGAGAGAATAGGAGTAAAGAGCAACCAGCAGATGGAGACAGAGTGAAAAAGAAGAGAGAAAAGAACCAGGATCATGACACACATTATCTAACTTATGTAACTGACTAAAAGTGCCCCATAAAGCCCCGTTCACACTACACGCGACCAAGCGACGCGATACCATTCATTTCAATGGGGAGCTGGCGATTTCCGGCGACACGCGCGACAGCGACCGTTGGCGACCGGATGGGGCGTGTCTGGCGACGCGACAAAGTTGTGATCTGTTTAACTTTATGCAAATGAGGAGCGACTTTCGGGAGCGACAACCAATAGGAGCGGAGCGCGTATGATCCTTCTCCACATCATTGGATGTCATTCATAAAGGCAACCAGTAGTGAGAACTCCCACTAGCGACCTCATCGCCAGCCACTGGCGACATGCAGCGACAAAGTCGCTTGTAGTGTGAACGGGGCTTTATGCTTTTCAAACACTACCTTTCATGCAATGTGCAATGTAGCTGTCTGTGAAAATAAACAATCTGCAAAGTTGTGAAGCCGAAAGTGCACAATAAATCAAGTTATTGTCTCTCAAAAGAAAGAATTGACCAGGAATTTGAATCCCACTTCTGTGACAGCTACACGTCACTGGGTAACATATTTACATAATGCCCGCCTATGTTCTACATTGTCCGTCAGCGAACAACATCTACTTTGAACAGCCCTCAAACAATGTTAAGTGTCTGCCTTGCTGCATGGTTTGCGTCTGTAAGCTCCGTATCTTTCGGTTTTAAATCTCTATTTATCATTCCTTGTTGTTTATATTGCTAAATATAA